TTGTCAAAAAAAAAATCAATAAAAGAACAGTCAGAAACATGATGGATGACCCGATCTCATTCGGAATTTAGGAATAGACAATATTAATATCAAAAGCAGAAGAACACGGAAAGCAAGATTCCATTGTTTCTGAAACAATACTAATACATATATTTGGTGTGAATTGATAATAATCCGAGAGGAAAAAATCCTTTTTAGGGAATATAATATATGTCTAAATAGAGATGTAAATGGTGTTCGGAAAATTTTCCTCGATCTTTGCTGGGCGGAGCTTTGCAATTGGCATGAACAGCAATGCCTTTACTTCCGCTTTCATTAGAACTGCTCATTTAAAATGGTAATGGCAGGGTATGCTCCGGTCCGTACCCTATAAGGACCGGACCGGCTGCGGATATTAACATTCTAATTCGTGAAGTTAAAAATGGAAAAAATAAATTACGGGCTTTATTTGTAATGCCATATTATAACGGGTTGTGAATGATTGGATACCTGGATGATGGATATATACCATTATAGGATATTATATAATGATAGAATAATTGTATTTAAAAATAGTAAACCTTGTTAAAAATAATTTTAAAAGCGCGATAGAAATATAGGCGATGCCTCACGGCAGCCATCTTACCTATTTACTTTACATCAGTGGCACAAAAATTATGCTTTAAACGGAGAAAGTTTCAAAAACGTAATCTCAATCATGGCTTTGAATGACATCAGAGGCTTGGATTTTAGAAGTAAATGCGACCTTTTATGTTACACAGAACCTTAATTTTTTAGAATATTATAAATCCTTTTTTTTTTTTGAAATAAATTTTTTTTAAAAAATAAAAATAAAAAATAAAAAAAAATTATGGACCATGATGAAACTCATAGTAATACACCGAGTGAACCTTTCCATACCATTCCGATCTATCAACCAGACGCTTCTTCATCCGATAGTGATAGTAACGATAATAACGAGAGCCCAGTAAACTTAGATTCACCTGTAGAAGAAAATAGAGAAAACGTTTTGCAACGTTCCACCACCATTACCTCAGTATTACAACATAGACCAAGAATTCAACCACCACCGCGTTCTTTTACTGAACCAGTACCAAAACATGAACGACATCCTTCCGAGTTATCTGTGATGGCTGAATCTATACAAACTAGACCAAGTGTTGAAGACGCATTATTTTTTGAAGAGGAGGAGGAAGAAGATAGTGAAGAAGATTTAGAAGAATTACAAAGACAACAATATCAACAACAGCAGCAACAGCAACGTTATCCTTCACAACAAATAATAAATGTACCAAAGTTAACTCTTAGTCCATCTACACAATATCAAAATTATAATAACGACGATGATGTTAAAGACATTTCTACTGAAATACAACAACAACATCAACCACATAAAACAACAAAGCAAACTACTACAACATTACTTCCGCCGACAAAAACAACAAAAAACACAAAATTTACTGGTTTATTACCTTTGAATTTGTTAAGTGGTGATGAATCATCATCATCATCTTATAAAAAAAGTAAACATGAACTGTCAAAAGAGAATTTGGAAAAGACTCATCGAAAAAGTAGTGATCAATCAAAAAGAGGTATTTGGTTTATAATTATTTGTAATGTACCTGCGTAAATTGGTTTTTTTTTAATATTTACAAAAAACAATTTTTTAGATTCAAAATCATATGATAATTCAATGCGTGGAATAAAAAAAGAAATGTCAAGCGTAGCAATAGATGATGGTGGTGGGTATAGAGATAATGAACTTTTATATCAAAGAGATTCAGCCGATCTTTTACCATTAACTTTAGTAGCTGGTAGTGGAGGCGGTGGTGGTGGTTCAACATCAGGTGGTTTAAGTTTTTCAAGCAATTACGCTTATCTTTCACCACCATTCGGACGTATAATATCAAGGTCTCAAATTTTGGCAAGAGTTGCGATTTTTTCGCAATTAATTTTATTCAATATTATTTATGCCAGTTATAAATTAAGCCCAACTAGACAATTTTCATCAACAACTGCATCAACAACCGCACCTTCAACAACAACAACAACCGTTACTAATGTTAGTGAAATAGTTGACGGTAAAAATTATGTTAGCAATCTAGTTGGACTAGTGATTTTACCCTGTCTTTTTTTAATATTGTATTTAAGTATTGTCACAATATGGACTTATATTGATTTAAAGAATAAAGGTTTCGATTCATCATTTACAGTAGCATACTATTCTCCACTTATGCTGTTTTCAATATTTTACGGAGAGAAAAAAAGAGTTGACGTGTCAAAATTTCATGAAGTTAATTATGGTGCAAAATGGTGGAGATTTGGTACTTCGAAAGTGAGAGAAGGCATCATAATGTCGATATATTGTATATTTGTAATAGGATTTGTTACGTCTGATATAATTAGTAGGGCTTTGAATGAGTCAAATTTACAAGTATCGAAAGTGTTTGAGGATTTTGTACCATTTTTATTTATGTTGATTATATTTTCTAGTGGATTTTTTATATTTATTTGGACTGTTGTGGATCCGGTCATCGATGGCACATTACACGGAAGTGGTGAAGGAAAAAAGAGATTAATCGGAGTGTTGCCAAATGCTTTTAAATCAAAGAGGGTTTGAAGTTAATTGAAAAGTGAGAGATTATTAAAGAAAATAGGCATTTCTTAAATCAAAGATATATTTATACATTAATTATCGTTACTATTATTTACAAAATAATATTTTACATTCTTAAAATTCACATCATTTTCAAATTTTTATATTATAAATTTTTTTTTTGTAAATAATTTAAATAATTTATAATTTATTTCAGTGGGAATATGTATAGAAATTAAATGATTTTATATTTAACTATTTATAAATTAAAATAATTTTGGGAATCTAATCTTGAAATAAATCCGGATTACTTTCTTTGAATGCTATACAATAACCTTCCAACTGCGTTGCCGCGTATTCTTTTGCTGTTTCATAAATTATGTTATAAGTTTGTGGCAGAACATATTTTGATAATTTAATTTCGATTTTCTTTTTGGTATCTACTAATTCGTAATAATCCGATCCTTTTAAAAGATCTAACAGTAAGTATATAATTCTTTGTCTATCATCACTATTATTGTTGTTTTCTTCGGCAATCACTTGATCTAAATTACCTCCATACATGATTTTTATTAAACTTCTAAAGCCATTCGGACTAATACCGTCGCATATTTTATTTTGCTCTATTCTAATCGGTTCATTGAAGGCTGCTGTATGAAAATTACCATAAAATGATGTTTCAAAATGTTTACACGTTGCCAAAATCGCTCGATCGTTTACCAATTTATGGATTAAACCACTTTGTGGTCATGGGTATGTATTCCTTACCTCGCGTTTTAGTATAAGATAGTCATGTTTCTATCCAACCAAATAAAGAATGGGGTTTGAGGATGGTATGGTAGTAAGGATAGTTAAGGCACGGATTTTTCAATGCAAATTGGTTAATAAAAATGGTTATCGGAATACATTTTCGAAGTAAAAAAATAAAATATACTCGAATCAAATGTCTCATGTCCTCTCTCATATAACTTATATCGTGTAACATTGCGGTATGTTAATATTTAAATATGGTTAGAGGATTATGATAGACAAAATATTAAATAAAAGGATTCGGTAGAATTGGAATTTTTTTTAATGATAAAAATGGTTTTTCTCAGAAACTTCAGGAATATAAATACACGCAAGAATTTCTTTTGCAATCATCTTACAACCCAAAATAATTTAAAAAAGGGCATTGAAATCATCGGATTCACTTTCTCGCCTGCTACTCTTAGAACAATCCTTACCCTTGAAGAGTTAGGTATAGAAGAATATGAATTTGAGAAAACACCACAAATCAAAACGCCTGAATTTATTGCTAATAAGCATCCATTGTAAGTGACGTGATCTTTTTAAGTAATAATATTAATTTCTTTCTAAATTTAAAAATCAATCTTGTTCGTTAATCATGATTATTAGTGGAAGAATTCCAGTAATGTTTGATGACGGTTTTAAAGTTTTTGAATCACGTGTAATTTGTCGATATCTCGTAAACAAATACCAAGGAACCAAGAATTCTACAATTTTGATTCCAAAAGATCTACAAAAGGCAACTTTGGTTGAACAATTCTTATCAGTTGAAAGTTTATATTTTGATCAACCATCATTAACTATTGTTTTTGAAGAATATATTGCCAAGTGTATGATGAATAATGAACCTAATACTAAAAAGGTCAAAGAAGCAAAAGAAAATATCGAACCAGTATTGGATGTTTATGAAAAGTTTCTCAAAGGAAAAGATTATTTGTCTGGTGAATATTCTTTAGCTGATCTTGCTCATGTGCCTAATATCTTTTTTACTGTTGACAAAACCAACTCTGGAGATATATTTATTAATGACAAGCGACCTAATTTAGCTAGATGGGTGAAAAATATTAGCGAAAGACCCGTTTGGAAACGAGTATTGGCAAAATATAATCTCATCTAATGTTTTTCTTATTTTGTATTAATTTAAATTTTATCAAAATAAAATTTTATTATTTAACCCTGAAGGTGTACAATTGACAAAGTTATAGCCTGATGATGATTTTGGTGGTGGCTTTAAGGAAGGCGGTGAACTTTTGGTGGACCAGATGGAAGTTTACGTCAATTTATTTGAATTTCATTCCATTATTATTTTCATAATATTAACATGATTCGGTGCTAAATACTCTGTTATCTTTTTTACACTGTGATCTCTTACAATTCTACAGGATCTATAGTAGCAATTATATATATTAAAGTAATCATATTTTCTATGTTACATTGAATTTTATGAAGACCAAGATACATATATGTTGGAGTGTCTTATTGGAATAGCAGGCAAAATTTTCGTACTGATACTTCAATTACTATTACAAAATCCAATAAATAAATTACTCACTCTGCTTCTTATACTAGTAGCTAATTCTTTTCTGCTATAGGTAGCTGCAGCTTTGATGTCGGCTTGATCCCATAAACAAACATATTCTGCAAATTTAATTTTATCTCTTGGCTCACCAAAATATACTATGATGACATGCTCATTAAGATCACGAGACTCTATTTATTTACTACTACTACTATTATTATTATTATTGAATTAAAAAAATTATAAACATAATCTTTTAGAAACCATATATAGTTAATCTTTTAATAGCAGGCTTCATCAACGCCAAATCTTCATTGTATAAATTATTTTGGTACTTGTACAAGTACACCATTTGTAGTTAATGTGATATGGAGAATACATTTAATCGTCTATATTTGTTGGATAGATATCATCATTCAGAATTAACACTTGAAGAAGCAAAAGTGTTGACCAAAAAATGTGAATAGTAGGTTTATTGTTAGTTAACCTTGCTAATTTCAAGATAAAGATGTGGTATTGATTAATAATACATTATTATATTTATTTATTGTTATTTCTGTAACAAATAAATAAAATCATTTCCAAAAATAAAAAAAAGATTAATCGTAATGAAAAAAATTTTATCACTTTTTTTTAAAAATTTTACTTTGAGATGTAACTTTAATTATACGTGTAACATTGAATCATAAGATGTATATATAACAATAATTACGACAATTGCGATCTCACTTTTCTTAAAAGTAGCTGATCAGTTCAACCCCAAACTTGGGATGGGAGGTTCTTACTCATTCTTTTATTTTTGTGAGCCACCCAAGTCTTTATATAAAGTTGCTTGAAACCTTCTAGGATATCCTAAAAGAGACAAATTTATTTACTCAATGTGTCATCATTTATTTCTGTGATTCCACATCATCTTAATAAATATATGAATATCATTGAAAGTAACTCGTTAGGATTATGCATTCAGCCCCGATTTAATTGACTGTGTTGCATCAAGCAAAAAAATTGAGAATATTATTGTTCTAAGCAATTAATACTTAATTTATATATTACGTGCATATGGCTTGGATATAGATTTGTAATCTTGGTGGTGAAATTTTTGATCTTTAAATTCTTGAAAATACAAAATGGTATATTTGAAGTCAATGATGTCCTTGGTGGCAAGGATTTTGATGATGCATTGGTGGTGAATTATATTATAATAATTTAAAAAAGAACAAGATAATGACATCACAAAAAATAGATATATTGGAGATCAATGTATTAGAAAAGCCTCTGAAAAAGCAAAATTTGAATTTCTGTCAGCCCTATAAACAAATATCAATCTTCCATATATTACAGCTGACAACGGTGATATTAATATGTTAATGGTGGATTGACAACAGCAAAGTTTGAGTTTATTCTGGCGGGCAGAATGGAACTTATTCCAAAGGTGTTCAAAGCTGTTAAGTAAAATCTTTGGTAATGAACCAAACAAGTGTTAATCCTTTTTTACAAAAGGAGAACTGTGTGACATTAAAATTTATCTTCGGATGAATTGGAATTTAATGATTGAGAAAAGATGGCAAGGTTGAAGTAGTCGAGACAGAGCTTTCTATAATACAAAGAGTAAATTTTAACACTTGTTAAAAAATCTTTTGTGGTCAGCAGTTCACGCCTCATAAAATCTGATTGGTCACTGCAATAATCATGTTAGTTTCTAATGAATTTTGCCTTAACATTAAATACTGACTGATGTATAAATTAGAGCATCTATATAATACCCACAGACCTTTCTAGAAAGCACCATTTTATTATTATAATAAAATCAGATCAGTGTATATACACTCCCCTACAAAAAATATCCGACCACTTGTGCTGTGTAACGTCAAATGAAAAAAAGTACTTGCTAAATAAAGTACGTTTTCTTAAATAAAACCTTTT